CAGTCAGACAACAAAACTCAAACTGACATTGCGCATGCATTCCTTTATTTAAGTCTGGTTTATCTTGAAAGTCAAATTGAAAGTCAAAGTAGGGATGCAGGCAGTATACTCAGTCAACCATAGCAAGACGTGCAGGTAGGGGTTATAACTGGGTTTATAGAGGGAGAGCAAATGATTACCTCTCAGTTCTCAGCCTCCAAAACTCCTCCCGAGTTCCGGCAGAGCTCCCGCAATCGGTGGGCTGACTCCCCACAGAGTCTTGCTGCGATCCTACGGGTTGGAATCCCGCCTGCCGCCTTCCTCTCGTAACCAGGACTAAACTTAGATTAAGAAGGGCACAAGTAGGGGTTTCAGACTCTCGAGATACAGGCGGGGGACAAACTCAACTCCCAGGAGAGGGCCTTGTTGCCTTGATATGCCTGACTGCCCCGCAATGATGGCCAAAAACTGCTCTTGGTCAAACTGAAGCCCAACAGTCAAGAGTTGGCCCTTTGACGACCTCTCAAGCCATCAATAACCCCCTTTCACAGCTCGACCACTCCCCCCACTTGCAACCCGCGCCCTCCAACTAACTGTAGCTACGCAACACAATAAGGGTGTTTTTCAAACAGAGCACGCCTCCCTGAAGGCACCACACGTGCGTAGTCAAGGCATAATATGCACAACGAAATGCAGTAGTATGTAGTGGATAACTGTTCACACGACCATACCCGCAACAACTCAATAAGAAGTTGCTCAATAAACAATGACTTAACGACCGGCAGCAGTTTGGCGAACTCTGCAGGCTCGGCAATAATGCCTCCGATTTGAATGGGCGTTGGAGCAATTGGCGGCTGCAGTGAACTCTGTCCCCCCCCCTGCTTCAGCTGATGGGAAGAAGGCACCCCGGCCAGCAGGCAAGTATTCAGCCCTACAACTCACTCCTCCACGATGGATGGGCAGCGGACCGGGCATCAAGTAAGCTTCCAAGTTTGTGGCTGACCTTATCTTACTGCCATGGACCGAATAGGCGAGGCACGGAGTAGTAGATAGGTCTGTGGCCTCGTCGCTCGCCGCCTTTCTGCCCCCGAACGATGGGTAAGCAGCGCAGCAGCTCACAGGTAAGAATTCAACCTCGTCCCCTGCTTCCTGCTACTCTGTGCCTCATGATGAGCGGCGCTCCGGCTAGCTAGGTGGACATCCAAACTCCGCTGCTGGCCTTCCGCTGCTCTAACTGACGGCCAATCTCCCGGCCCCGGGGGTTGCCCCCTTGCTGCTTTTGTCGATCGAGCGGTCAGCGCACTGGCCAACGGTAAATCTCCAGCCTCGCAGTATGGCTTCGCGCTACTCCATTACTAGAATGAGCAACAATCGAATGAATCTATCGCTAGATCGTAGCCGGGTGCCTCCCTTAGGACAAGCCTCACACTAGCCAACAGGTATATCTCCTACCTCGCGGCTGCCCTCACACCTCTTCCATTGATAGGTTAACCAAACCTGAATGAATCTTCTACTAGAACGCGGAACTATACGTCGCTGCCTTGATGCCTTGCGCTCCACTGCCCCGCTGCTCTTGCTCTGTACCCGCCACCACCATCTCCGCGCATCTCTCTCTTTCACTAGCTGTTAACTAACATGTTCTTTAACTGATCTGTCTTCAAATTTGGGGTCGCCCATCCTGGAAACCCCGACTCACTTCCATGGATCGCGGGCTTCGCCTCGAAAATGAGCGGGAACGACCCTCCCCATTCCCATGTTCCTCCTTCTCGACATCTCCTTGCGCACCACTTCTCAGTTAACTTTACCCTTACTGACCTTCGTACTAATCTGACCTTATTATCGGATTCACCTCACCTAAGAACCCCGATTTTGCATCTTTCCTGACTCAATTCGGTTAAGAATGGAGCGAGTTCGAGCGCTTCTTCTCGTTCTCACCATAGCTCGCCCTCTCCCTGCATGCACCCTGCGCACCTTGCTGCCCAGGTTCGTCCGCCCTCTTCGATGCCCTGTCGCCTCTGCACTCCTCTCTTCCCCGTCTCAGTCAGAGCGCGTCTGTGCGCTAACTTCGGCTTCCACACAGATATCGGTCGCTACACTGTCGGCAGGTTGGAAGTCATGAAGGCGATTCCCGCTAGGGAGTGTGGCCGGATCAGTCAGCACGGCTGATTCCCGACACCTGCCACCTCGGCAGCCCCAACTCCTACGGAATTCTAAAGGGAACCCGCTACTAAACGACAAGCTAGTCTTTCATCCCTATGGCTCAAGTCAGGCCGCTGATTCGAGCGTCAACGTCGCTGCGGGCCTCCATCAAGTTCCCTCCATCTCTGGTTTCGGCTGTATCTGGCGCGGAAGCACGTCCAGGTTCCTACCCCTGTCCCTGTTTCAAATCTTCGTCTCTTCCCTGCTCCACCGCTAAAATAGCCTCCAGACTGCAACAGATTTTGCAGCGTCCAGCCACCAAGTCGAAAATAGAGTAGGGAAAGTCGGAGCGCTCAGGTGTTTTCCCCGATTTACACATACCATCCTTGCGCAGGGGCCATGCTACTCTTCTCTGTATCGTTCTAGATTTTAACGGATGTCCCGAAGGACTTAGCCCCGGCTAGTAGTCCTGACTACTTCGAAGGAGAGGCATCGGAGGGAAGCAGCAGCTAGACGGTTCGATTAATCTACCGCCCCATATGCCGAACCCGACAATAGCTGGCACGCCAATATCACTACAGTCTTTGTTGAGTTCCCTCTCGCTGCTCCACCTGGGCACAACTCCTTCCCCTTTTCCTCCTTGTATCCCCAACGACCAACCAGCATACAGCCGGAGGTGCGGGCCTGTTGTTGGCCACTAACTCAATCTCAGGCGATACGAGCCCCGACGCGAATTTTAATGGCATTAGCAAATATTTAAACCTGAACTCTTTGAAAAGGGGCCAAAGTGGGACGGGGATCCATGGAACATGTGGGGTGCCCAAAACAGCCATGGGCCGTCTTACTCAGGGACAAATCACCATCTTTTGGGTTCCCAACGGGCATGCTCACACTCAAAACCTCTCACAACAAATTTTGGCCGACAGCGGTGCGCCCGCAGAAACGTCCCACTACTCAGTTCCTTCCGTTTCGTGGCCACTCGCCCACGAACTTTCAGGCATGCCGAACTCTTTGGTCCGTACTTCAAAACGGCGAAATAAACGACATCCGACCGCATCCCAACCTCGCCAAGCCCCCCCTCGGCAAAACCGAGGGGGATAGCCACGCCGAGCCCTCTACCCCTCAATTCCCTTCAAATGTTCCTTCGCTCCTTCGCCATCTCCTGCTCGTCTCGACCCTTGAATCCTCCGGTTGAAAGTCCGACACCGTAACGGATAGTGCTAGGCCCAAAGCTGAGCCTATTATCGACGGACATCTATATAAGTGGTTACCGCTTGACGCGAGGATCTGCAAACACGTTCCAAAGTCACGCATCGGCCTATCAACCAACCTCACGACCACCATCCTTTCGTGTTCATCGCGCGGCTATACAGAACCGTGTCGTTGTCGACGTCCTTCGTACGTACGCACGTGTCACGGTCACGCATATCAATAAAAAAAGACAATCTTTTTAATCCTAGTTTAATCAACGATAAAAATCCGATCGACGATCACGCCGATTCTTTAATCATCAACAATTAAAAATCACGTGTGCCTTAAGCGTGAGTGCCCACACACTCTCTACTGTAGTCAACCATTCAGTTAACGTAAACCACAGACGCTGCTGCGCCTCACGAGGTATGCTTAAACTTTAAACCAAACTTATTTTCTGTCGCTTGCAAAAGCCAGGGCGGATACGCTTGTAAGGCTATTCGCTCCGACACTGTCTTCTCCTTGCGGGGCCTCCCGCGGTGGCGACGTGGTGTGGGGACTTCATTCACTGGAGCCTTCCTCTTTTGCCCCGCCCTGCTTTTCCAGATGTTGTCGTGTTGGGCATCCTCATTCTGTGCTGGGTACTGGGGTCCGCTGGAGTGGGCCGCTGCTCCTCTCACCGTTGATCCGAGTTTTTTTGGCTGCTCCGCAGCCACAGCCTGCTGGTCCCCCGGCGGGTCTTGCGGTGCAGGCTGCTGCAGTGGCGGTGGGCAGGGTCTTCGTGTGTAAACCGTTGGTGGTGCTGGTTGCTGCAGTTCCTCTCTGTCTTGCTGCTGAGTTTTTTCTGCATCCTCCTTCATATCATCCCCATCTCGGGGCAAACTTTTTTCTCCTTGTTGTTGTTTCTCCGAGTGCTTCAATGTCCACTCCCGCATGCTGCAAACTCCCTTCATGTTCTGCAGACACATCAACCTCATCTACCTCCATGTTGTCCACCCTTTCATCCTTTTCATCACTATGCTGCTCCTCATGTTGGCTGACCTATTTGCTTTGTCTCTCTCTCTCCCTCCGTGTGGGGACAGCAGCACGGCGAGCCTCCTTCTCACACATTCGCCTCTAAACCAAAGCGGCATCCCTATCTGCCATAGCCTTGGCTGGAGCAGCTTCCTCCTCGTCGGCATCAGGCGTAGGGTGCGCCAAGAACTCGATATCGGTGTCCAATCTGTCGATGGCCTCGGAAGGCAGCACCTCTGCCTCTTCCTCTCGCCTCCTAAGCCTCCGACCGACATATGTAGTGGCTGGCACCGTCGGCTTGCCCCCCAACTCGAAATTTGAGTCCTCCCCAATGTCATCCTCACCGTCACTCTCCTCGGAAGTCGACTCGTCCCAACACTTCCCCTTCCACACGAGATCCTCAAGATGCTCCCGCTTGAGTGGTCATCCAGCAGGCTCTTCGAAATCCGGTCTTTTGGAGTCTTCTTCAGTCTCTTTTGCCTCTTTTCCTCCTCGATATTGTCCGTTGTATCATCCTTCGTGCGTCCTCGATAGCTACATCTTCCGTTGTCGGCTCCATCAACGACTCGAAGAAGGATCCCCACACATCGACATAGCCATTGTCCTTGCTATTTGGAACATGCAGCAACTGCATGTTCCAGTGAATGTAAACCAACTTCTCCAAGGACTTTGGCGAGAGATTGTTTCTGCGCTTCGAATGGACAAAATCCATCGATGCCCAGTTCCGCTCCGCGGGTGTCGCCGTGCTCCACATTCCCAGCATGTTGATGGCGATCTGCTGCAACTGTGGAACATCCCCATCGTGCAAGGTCCACCAGTCTGCAGGCGTACGTCTTGTTGCTTGCTTGATGGCAACTGGTGTCCACATGCGTTCATCTGTCCCGACTTCCCCTTCCACATGCTCTCTCAAAAACTCGTACGGATGCTCCTACATGTCCATGTGCGGCTTTGAATCCCACCCCGCTCCGATCTGCCTGCAGAAGAAGCGCATTGCGTTTTGCACGAGGGCGCTGTCCGGATCGCTGAGCCAGCCTGGGTCTCTCCTCCGTGGATCCAACAAAAATGCAGCTGCATGAACGGGCTGCCGCATCATCTGCACGTGGTCCTTGACCTTGTCCATCACATCCTCCCTCTCCTTCTTCGCGAGTACGACGTTTGCTAATTTCCTCGCAATGAGATCGTCGAACTCCACGAGGTTGGTGGGAGAAACTCCTTCCCTGTCCATCCTCTTCAGGAGGCTGTACACCGACTCCATAATTGCCACAATTTTCCTTACTATGGCCCACCAACTCTCTGACCTCACAGTGTAGTAGACAAGGTTGGCTTTTTTCTGCAGCTTCTCTCCTGACCATCTCAATGCGCACCACTTCGCTCCACAACCTCCGTCCACCATCTCATTCAACACTTCCTCCCTGTCCGTTAGCCTCTGCAGCATCTGGTACACCGACCCGAACCGGACCTCTGTCGGGCGCAGCAATGACAACGAGTCATCGATGGACATCATGAGACCGTGCGTGGCGTGATGGTTCCTGATGAACTTCACGATCGTGTTCGCCGTCTTCACTGTGTCCTTCACCCAAGGCAAACTGCTAAGGTCCTTCAACAACAGACTGCAGCAATGCGCTCCGCATGGCACCCACGGTATCCTTGCAACGTCTCTGTCGGTCCGCCTCTCCAAGATCTGCGCCGACTTCTTGTTGACCTCAGCGTTGTCTGTGTAGATCGCGTTAATCCGTTTGAGCCCTATCTCCCGCATCACTTGCTCCCACAACTTCGTCAATGCTGCTGCATTTTTCTTCCTCCCAATCATGTAAACTGTGGTCACCAGAACTGCTCCTTTCTGCCCCGCTGCTAGGAAATTCATGACCGGCCGGTTCTTGCGATCTGTCGCTCCGTCTGTGATGAATGTGCAGCCGGTTTTCTCCCAACAAGCAGTGAAGGGGTTGATTGCCTTCTGGACCTTCAGGAAGATGTAGTCCAACATGACAGTCCGCATATGCTTGTAGGTAGACAACTTCACCTTCGGCTTTGCATTGGCAACCTCCAAGTAAGTGTTTTGAAGAGCCTGCGTGGTGTTGAAGTTCAAGAAGTTGAAAGCAATTCCAGCCCTGAACATTGCTTCCGCCCACGCAATGTCCAACTTTTTTTGTGCGTCGTTGTCAATCCACTTTCTTATTGTGGTCTGCGTCTTTGCCAGCACAACACGGGCCGCCCCTCCACCGGTGCAATCATCACTTTTCACTGCAGCTTCGTCATCTGTTGTTGCGATTGGTGCAGCAAATTGTGGAACAGACCGCCCTCGAACAGGCAGAGGCACCGGCCAAGTCGACGGATCGTCCGCATCTGATGCATCCTCCGGAGCCTCATCGCCCCCCTCCGCGCCCTTGGCGAGTCCTCTGAAGTCTTGCAGCAAGTACCGGGTGTTCTTGTCTTTGGGGTTGACCTTGCCTCCCTGAGTAACAAGCTCATCCACAATCTCCCCCGTCCGAAAAGGACACGGTTTCTGCACTTTCAAGAAATGCTCCATTGCCTTTGTTGATGAGCCCCTGAACACCTTAGAACAAAGGCGACACTTCAGCCAATACTCCCCACGTCCTGTTGGGACTGCCTCCTGTCCCTGTTCGACCCACTTCCAGACTGTGTTCTTCTTCAGCAGCTTCTTATGCTCGTTCTCGTCCTTAGCTTGAAAGAGATGAGGATTGGTGGCAGGTGTTGCTTCTTGTTGATGGCCGTCGTTGTTGACTGCGCAGACTTGCTTGACAAAGGCTTGTCGGAAACAGGCTGCACTTGCTCTTTCCCCTTGCCTGCATCGGTGCTGCCTAGCCTGTGTCTCGTCCGCCCAGCCCCGCCATTGCCATCACCTGCCATGATGTCTCCCGCGGTGATGTGGGGAAATAAAAAAACCGGCTATGGCTAATGGAGGAGGACGAGAAGAAGAGGAGGAAGAAGAAGATGACGAAAAAGAGGGAGGAGAAGAGTGGGACGAGGAGGTAGAAGAAGAAAAAGAAGACGAAGTACGCAAGGAAGGTGAAACAACTTCGGGAATTTTTTTTTTAAAATGGCTATGGCTAACAGAGAATGAGGAGAAGAAGAGGAGGAGGAGGAAGAAGAAGAAGACGATGACGAAGAAGAGGGGAGAGAAGAGGAGGAGGAGGAGGAGGAGGAGGAGGAGGGAGAAAAAGAAGAAGAAGAAGAACGCAATGGTAGTTAAAGCAGCAACGAAAAAACGAAAACTTAAAAAAATGGCTATGGCTAACGGACGAGGAGGAGATGAGGATGAGGGAGAAGAAAAAGAAGATGACGAAGAAGAGGGAGGAGAAGAAGAAGAGGAGGAGGAGGAGGAAGAAGAAGAAAATGACGAAGAAGAGGGGAGAGAAGAAGAGGAGGAGGAGGAGGAGGGAGAAGAAGAAGAACGCAAGGGTAGTTAAAGCAGCAACGGAAAAAAAAAACAAAAAAAAAACCAGCTATGGCTAACGGACGAGGAGGAGATGAAGAGGAGGAGGAGGAGGAGGGAGAAGAAGAAGAAGATGACGAAGAAGAGGGAGGAGAAGAAGA